ATTCTGTTCCCACCACTACCTTCCAAAAAAAATTCAGTTTTAGAAAATTTAAAAGGACCATTTGACATAGGGTTATATTTTTTTGTTCTTGTCAATTGACAAATATGAATTATACTTTTGTAAGATTGAAGCTGAGGTAAATTTAGAAACTTCCCGGGAATAATACCCCAAATTTCAGCTTGAGTTTTTTTTTTCTTCATTTTTTTAAATCTGCTCTGTCTTTGAATTCCTTACACCATTTGCACTTAAATTGACCATGGCCCTGTAGGATCATATATATGCCGAACCAGTGGGACCTGCTCCTGGCTTCTACTTTTAAAGAATTTTTAATTAACTTTGTTTTTGTTTTAAATTTTAAAAAAACTTTTTATTAAAGAAATGACATTGTTAAAAACCCATCAATACAAATATTCATTTTAGTCAGTAATCTTTTATTTCTACTACCCCTAGAAAAGCTTGTGGTAATGAATACCTTGTAATCTCATCAACTAGGAACCTGAGGCAGAAGGATTGCAAGTTCAAGGCCTGCTGTAGCTACATAGAGTACTTAGATAAAGCACAATAATCAAGCCATTAGAAAGTTCCCAGAATACATAAGTCTTGAGGCTGTACCTTCATTTTCTTTGTAGACTGTCCTGAAACTTACTTTGTAGACCAGGCTGGCCTTGAACTCACAGAGATTCATCTGCCACTGCCTCCCCAGTGCTAGGATTAAAGGCATGAGCAACCACCGCCTGGCTTTGTATCTTCATTTTCTTTTTAAATTTATTTATTTATTATTTATTGAGAATTTAGAGTTTATTCAGTGAGTTATGGAGGGGAAAGGGAAGAGCGGAGCGGGGGAGAGGATAAGAGGCAGCAGCCACCTTTTCCGAAGAGAGACGGAACCTTAAATTTTATTTTAGATGCATTGATGTTTTGCCTTCACGTATGTCTGATCCTGTGGAAGTGAACTAACAGGCAGTTGTGAGCTGGGTGCTAGGAATTGAATCCGGGTCCTCTGGAGGAGCAGTAGTGCTCTTAACTGCTGTAGCTTTATTTTCATTTCCTGTATACATACCTGGGAGAAGATAGAGGAGACTCATGTCACTCCCTCCTATACCCCTCCCCCCACACACACACACACACACAGAGAGCGCCAAAGCATCTTCTGGAGACCAGGTCTTTTGTTTTTTGCAGATCTGGGACACAGCTGGTCAAGAACGGTTCCAGTCTCTTGGTGTGGCCTTCTACAGAGGTGCAGATTGCTGTGTTCTGGTCTTTGATGTGACTGCCCCCAACACATTCAAAACCCTTGACAGCTGGAGAGATGAGTTCCTTATTCAGGCCAGCCCCCGGGATCCTGAGAACTTCCCTTTTGTTGTGTTGGGAAACAAGATTGACCTTGAAAACAGACAAGTAAGTGCTACATTACCATCACAGGCCCCTCCTCTGGTACCTTGGAGTTTGGAGGGTTCTCTTCCAGGCTCAGAATAATCTAGGAAGATACTGGTGGGAGTGCTTGTCACCTGGTCCCCAGCTGACCCCAGCTTTGATGTAAGGCCGTCTATTCTTAGAGCCTCTGTTCCTTTAGAGGAAGGAATAGGTTTTCTCGCTTCAGGGTGGAAGAGTGCTGTGAGTTGTGCTGCTCATCGGAGTTCTACACAGCATTTCTGTTGGAACACAGCTTTGTTGATTTTAGCTCAGCTCATTTCTGACCATCTCTCTCCCTTTCTAGAGTTTGTCTCTGTTTCTTGGCTTGGGCAGGGGAAAGATCTAAGGGTGAGCACTGCAAAATCTGTGCCACTTGCAGGTGGCCCAAGATGGGTGTGGGTAAAGGGGTTTATATCAGAGATCAGCCGTGGACCCCAGGAGAAATCGCTTTCCACCTCCTGGGATTGGCTCTTGGTTGATGGCACACTGCTAAGGCCCACAAGGTCTGGCTACGGCCAGAAATAGCTCGAGTTTGGATACCTGACATGGGCAGCAGAGTGACCTGACCTGCAGGTCTGTAGGCCACACTCATCCTCATTCCCAGATCTGTCCTGGGGAGGACCGAGTCATTGTCCACTGTTCATGTCAGTACTGTTCTCCTCCCTCCTCTAGGTGGCCACAAAGAGGGCACAGGCTTGGTGCTACAGCAAAAACAACATTCCCTACTTCGAGACCAGTGCCAAGGAGGCCATCAATGTGGAGCAGGCCTTCCAGACAATTGCTCGGAATGCCCTTAAACAGGTGGGTCTCCAAGACTCCCCAGCTGCAGGGTGCCCTCTGGTGATGTCTGATGTTTTTTCCTGGATGCCTTTCTACCCAGCTGCAGCTGGGAAAACCTAGGGTGCTTCTCTGGGTGGGATAGGTCATGACATATTTTGCCCCAGTCCTTAGGAGAGCCATGGCTTTATTAGTCATCTAGGGCAGAGGTAGGGTATGGCTTAGTGATAGAACACTTCCCTAAGATACAGAGCACTCAAGGACAGCTTGGTCCTTGAATAATGAGTTCCAGACATAGTGAAACCTTGGGGGAACAAAACAAACATCCTGGTGAAGGAGGTATGGTCTTGTTTTTTCCTGGGCTATTTAGGAGATCAAGCCACATGGGACCTCTTGCTAGATCAATACTTCTAGTTAATGAGTTAAAATTGAATCAGATCTCAGCTGCACCTAATTATTTATGTCTGAGCTTTTGCCCCTTCCATGCAGAACAATACCAGCTTTGAAGGGTGGTTGTGGTTACCTGCCTCAACTCTCAGACCATGAAATGGCTGTTTCCTGAGAGTAGTTATGGACATATACAAGTAAGAAATACAAGAAAACTGAATCACAGAATCCAGAGCTCCTAGCTACCTTCATCTTGGAGAAAATAGTATGTGCCATGGCAGTATAGAGGCCAGGCCTATTGCAGGGAAGCTGAGGCAGGACAGCAAATTCAAAGCCAGCGAAGGCAACACAGTGCATAGGAGTGCTGGAGGTGTAGCCAGTTTAGTGTTGGTTTAGCATATGCAAGACCTAGGGGTTTGTCACAGTGTTGGGAGAATTTTTTCAAAAGTGTGGGCCTGGGCTATTGGCACTTTTGTGGGCCATGGTAAATTAAAGCTGGCTACAAAGCTTCATCATGCACGATCCAGAAAACACTGTGGGTCAGCAGGGACACCTGAGGCAGGCAGTAGCTGCAAAGACAAGGCATGTTCTCCCATCTCTAGGGAGCTGGGTATCAATGTACTTGTTCTCAGCAGGACAGGATTACTGTCTATGTGGGTGGCAGAGACTTGAAATGAACTGTTTCAGAGGCAGGAGTCCTGGTGTAGAGAGGCTGCACAAAGTGCTTTAAGACAGTGGTGGGCCTGCCCAGGTAGGATCATTCATCCAAATACCAAGAAGGCCCCCCAAAGAAACATGCTTTCTTCTGATGTCTCTCCCCCGAGTCTACCCTCCCACCTGGATTTTTCTTAGCATGCATGTATCTGTGTGAAAATCCAAGTCTCTCATCTCTGTTCTGTTGCCTGACACCGTCAGGTTCTCTCCAACCCTGCCGTTGTTTTTCCGGAGATGACCCCTATTCTCTGGTAGACTGTTTTGGATGGGGCTGGGTGGTTCACCCAAGGAAGCTCCCCAGCGGTGGGTGGTGCCACAACTCCAGCTGCTGGATCTGTAAGTTGCCACTTTATAGCACTGACCCTTTGAGCCTCTCCTCCTAGGCTTGCTACTCTGGTCTGATGCTTTTCTGTCCACTTTGCAACTAAACATGAATCTATTGACATTTTAATTATCATCTGCCACCCCACAGCCCATCAGTCATTGCCCTGCCAGTAGTTTTAAAATCAAAGGTGAGGGCAAAAACCTGCTGGCTCAGAGAGGTTGTTGCAACTAGCTGATCGTGCTTTTTGGTTAGATACACTGCAAGAACTTCATCCCAGAACCAAGAGAGCTCAAACTCCAGTCCCCGTCCTGTGCATCCTTTCTATCCAAATTGCTGGCTTCTCTGTGCCCAATTCTAGTCAGCTAGTCACTGGCTATGCTCCCTGATTCGAAGTTTATTGGGCAGTCTTGGGGCATATCATCATGAGGCTTGTTGTGCTTTTTAATATTTCATCTTCTCTTTTCCTGGAAAGAGAAGCTACATGTCCTTTTGAATTCTCCAAACCAAGATACCTTTATTATGGGAATTTTTCGTTCCCTAACTCACCAAGGGTCCTTTTACCAATGTGTAGTTCTTTCAGAGGCAGTTCTTGGGAATGTGCCCAGAGTGAGCGTATGAACTCCTGGTGACTAGACATTGTCTTCACCTACCTTCCAGCTTCCTTTATCACCCTCCTCAACTCTTGTTTTTGATAACCTTTGGCCATAGGAAGAAAGCCACCTTAGCTGGGTGTAGTGGTTCCTGCTTGTAGTTTCAGCACTTAGGGAGTTGAGGTAAGAAGAGAGGAGAATGGCAAATTCCAGGACAGCCTGGGCTACATGTGATAGAACATGTTATAATCCCAACACTTGGGAAGTGGAGACAGGAAGATCAGGAGAGTTTAAGACCAGCCTCAGCAACAGCAAATTCGAGGCTACCCTAACAAGAAAAAAATCATCTTTCTGTCAAATACAAATACAGGCTGGTTGTAACCTTTACCCTTCAGAGAACCTACGTTTCCAGTGGGAGTGAGTGTTGGGGTCGCTGTTGTCCCTTTAAAGTAGCCCAGTTGTTAAAGCATTCGTGTTCTTCTTTTAGAATTCCTAGACTGTCTTGGCCATGTCTGGGTTCCTTTACCTCAGTGGTTCTCAAACCTATTGTTCCTCTTGTTGTGGTGAGCCCCCTGACCATAAAATTATTTCATCACTACTGTTATGAATTGTAAATATCTGATTTGCAAGTTAACCCATTTACCTGGACCATCTTTATTTCAGTATCTTGAGTGTATAGTTCTGCTTACCTGTAGCTACCTCCCGACTCCCTCTCAGCCAGGTCAAAGCCTGTTGAGATTTTTGTTGGAATTGTATATCTACTTGGGTGGACCATAACAAAATACCATAGATCGGACAGCTTATACATATATTTTATTAGAGTCTGGGACCAAGGCTGGCACACTGGTTTTGGGATAGGGAACTTTTCTGTCATGCAGATGACTGTCTTCTTGCTGTTCACACAGGGTTGCTTTGCTCAGAGAGCAAATTTGATAAGCCTCCTTGGGTGTCTCAGTGACAACATATGTAGTAAGTTCTGGAGCTTGAGCTCAGTTAGTATAGAGTGCTCTCCTGGCATTCATGAGACCCTGGGATCCATCTTCAGTATGAGATAAACTCGGCATGGTAATACATTCCTTGTCCCAGCATCAGTTAGAAGCAGGAGAATTTAGTAATTCAAGATCCTCTACATTGCAAGTTCAAAGTGGGATACATATGAAACCCTGTCTGAAAAGGAAAATTGGAAGTCCTGTGAGATCAGATGCCAGAGATAACCCTATCTAATCTGGCTGTTCTAGGCATAGGCACACTAGGGGGTTAGAGCTTCAACATCCAAACTTTGGGTTGACACCCATTCTGTCCAAGACTGTCATTCATAATCTGCCTTTAGTACATATTAGTACTGACAGGAGTATATGTAAATTATTGTTCACCAGCTGATAAGTGTCTAAACAAAAGGTGGTTCATCTACTACAGATGCCATTCAGCCATAGGAGCAGTGGAATAGGCCAAGGGGTCTAACACAGAGGCTGGAATGAAACCTGTATCAAATTAATACCCTGTATCTCAGAAGTCCACAGGGTATGGTGTGCACACTTGCCATCCTCGTAGAAGCAGGAAGATTGCCCACAAATCCAGGGCCAGGCTGAGCTACAGAGTAAGACCCTTTGTATAACAAGAGACAGGTCTGGGATGAAATGTGGCTCATTAGCAGAGTGCCTACTTAGCATTTATGAAACCCTGGCTTCCGTGATGAGAAAATAAGATTGGTTGTGGCTGGGGGGGAAGGCGGGAGAATGGCTGCTAATTAGCACAGGGTTTCTTTTGGGGGTGATGAGTGTTGGGAACTGATGCACTAAGATAAAGCTCCTGCTGTATTCAATATGTATTCGCAGATATTGCATGTTTTTGTAGCTATTGTGAATAAAACAATAATACTGTTTAGGAAACTTTTCTTCTTGGGTACCGTGCTGAGGGGCAGCTCCGTTCCTCTTTACAAGGATTAGTCCAGGAAGTGACTGAAGCCCATCTTAGCTGCTCATCTTAGCTGCTGTGATGGCATCCCCCACAGCTCTGCCCCTCAGGCTACAACCTGTGGAAGAAAAGAGACGAGCTCCTGGACAACAGTCCAGAAAATTCAATGGGACATGATCACATGAGGAGCAGTGAGCAGGGCCCTACCTGACAGTTAGCTGGGTGTGGTCTACGATGCTCAGCAGCGGCATGTGTTCTGACTACTTGGTGTAGATGTGGTTCCTGCTGACTCCTTACAGAGTCTGTCACCCTGTACCAAGCTGAAAATTGGAATGTTCCCGTGTCCCAAGTCATCAACCTCTCTCTCTCCCCTGACCAGGAAACAGAAGTGGAGTTATACAATGAATTCCCTGAACCCATCAAACTGGACAAGAATGACCGGGCCAAGGCCTCCGCAGAGAGCTGCAGCTGTTGAAGGGGCAGTGAGCACTGAGCACAGAGTCCTTCACAGACCAAGAACACACATAGGCCTTCAATATGCGTCCCTCCTCCTCTAAACAGAACAGAACGTGATCTCTCACATCCAGCTGCCAAAAGAAAACTCCACCAAACACAGTCAGCCACCACACACACACACACACACACAGCAAGCAAACTCTAGCCTGTGCCTGACGGGCTCTTGGGGCAGTTGCCCGCCATGAGCCCTGTGTACGGCAGGCATACGGCAGAGCCCTGGGTGCTCTGGGGTGCAGTGGGCATGGAAAGCTTACTCTTTTTGTCCACTGGAGAGTGAGAGAACTGTTCACAGTTCGTCTGTGTCTAATTATCTGATTTTTTTTTTTAACGGTCTTGTGGTCTTTGCCCCTACCCCTCCTTGAAGGTCCTGTGGGAAGGCTGGTGCCCACGTTCCATTCTGAACAGGCTGTTTTGTATGTATCTGTTAATGCTTGTTACTTTTAACTAATCAGATCTTTTTACAGTATCCATTTATTATGTAATGCTTCTTAGAAAAGAATCTTATAGTACATGTTAATATATGCAACCAATTAAAATGTATAAATTAGTGTAAGGAATTCCTGGATTGTGTGTTTAAGTCCTCTAACGCAGACGTGCAAGATGGAGGGTTGAACCCTGTCTGGATTACAAGAGTGTTAGAGACTCAAATTTGGAAGTCCAGCTAGCAGCAGTATTCTGTACAGTAGACACAAGAATTATGTACACCTTTTATCAAAGACTTAAGAGCCAAAAGCTTTTGATCTCTCCAGAGGGAAAACTGAACTAGACAGTTCCCTTCTGTGTCTAAATTTTCCAAAAGGTTGATTTGCATAATACAGTAGTAGGTACAATGGATAAATTGCTGTTATTTTAGAAATTAAATTCTCATTTTCCCCTTCTTAGTTTTTTTTTTTTTTCCTTCCGTTCAACACTTTACTACGCCCTTTAGATCAATATCCTGCTCTAAGGGGAAAAGAGAACCCCACCAGACCTGTCCTAGTGACTCTACCTTTGTTCTAGAAGGCGCTCCTTTCAGGGTTGTGGTACCTGTAGGTTAGCAGACCCCTCCTCCTTTTCCCCCACCCGACCCAAGTGTGGCCCAGCACTAACCCACCCGTCTCTTGGGTTGAGCCCTGGCAGTTCTGTCCCCTCCCGAGGTCCTGCCCTGCATCATGGCTTGCTTCCCAGAGCACTTCCCCTCCAAAAGTCTACATTCTAGAGTGTAGGCTGAGTTCTTCTGTAAAGAGACGAACGTGATGCCAATAAAATTTAACAGGAACAAAGAATAGTTGCCCCGTTTTTTTTTTTTTTTTTCCTTGCAGACTTCAGCTGTGTGGAGACATTCTCTGTGTTCACTGTACCCTTGTGGACCCTTGTGGAGCTTAAGAGGCAAGAGTGCCTTCATGCCTAATCCTAGAATACCTGCCGCCCTAGTGGGGCTCTTTTTCTTAACCACAGTATTGGGAAAGGTGGGGCATGGAATGGAAAACATGTTTCCTAAGAGCAGCAGCCCTAAACTGCTGGTGACCTCGGGCCATTATACACCTGGAACCTCTGTGTGTGTGTGTGTGTGTGTGTGTGTGTGTGTGTGTGTGTGTGTGT